TTTGGGTATATCCCTTACCTCTCTGTCCTACACTTTTTTTTTGAGTGGTTAACATTTCTATTTTCTCTTTCTTTTGATTTTGTGTGCATATTTTCAATTACGAACGACTTTTTAGATTGGTTTGCTGATGTTGTTTTTCTTGTCTTAAAAAATAGAGGTCATTTTTATTCTTTGCTGGTTCTCCAATATGTCTTAACTTCTTAGGCTTAGCAAAAGGGTTTACACCTTTTGTAAATCTGCTCAGTGAGTGATTTCACTGAGCGTATATAATACTCCGTAAAACAAAATGAAAGCCTTTTTAATTATTTGAGCCGAAAACAGTTGGTTTACTTCACCGGACCTTATTGACCAATGTTTGTTCTAAATTGCTTCTGGCATGGTAGTTCGAAACTTTCTGCATATTTCTATTTTTAAAATCTATACTCTTACTTCTATTCCGTTGCTGTTTTTTGCAAAGGCATGCATGTGTTTTGGATAAACCTCATTTGTAGTTGCATGTTAATCCCTAAATATCCAAGTTCTTCACAATTATGACATTTTCTATGAGCGAGGATAGAACATTTTGGAGGATAGAGTTTTGATTTGTGCTATAAGTGGTCTGAAAAATATATATGCATTGCATCGGTGACTAATCTGTATTGATCTCTTAAAAATGAGTTCTCTAGTACAATTATGTCACACATTATACAGGAGTGTACACTCATTTGGATAATTCAGTCAAAGTGCCAATTCTCATTTAGTTTAATATTTTGTATATAACTTTTAAATGACTTTTTGGACTTTTTTAATACATCCAGTCCTATATATGTACTCGTTATTGGAATGATGGCCAAACTCAATGGTAAGTAGACTCTTTATCATGTGAAGTACTTCCTCATCTACTAACGTAGAGCCAATATGATTTGAGTTCAAGTAGTGCACATTCTGTTTTTGTAGCTCAAAACATTTCCCAATTTTAGTTTTGTATTTCAAGTTCATATTAATTATAGTGTTCTGTGAAATCCATTTTTCGTTAGGCTTCTTAAAATACATAACAATTGTTGCTATTTGTTATCATTATGTATGGGAAAAATGATTCCCTCAAAGAGCATTGAGCATACATGGTTAAGAACCCCTTTATACACAATAGTTTATATATTATTGTTTAAAACTTATAAAACCACTTATTTATTATTAAAAAAAACTTGTATATTTTTTATTCTAAAGCCAAAAACTGCAAAAATTTATAACATTTTATCCAAAACATAGACAAACACACTCTCATATCGAAGCTTCTATCTTATTTTTTTTTACCTTTACTTACCACATTGTTGTCTTTTCACTGAAGCATATATTGGCCCTACCTGTAGATATATTTAAATATAAATATTTACCTTAGATAAACACTACCAGTAAAGATGTAATGAATGCAATGAACTGCCGCTGTTTATTTCCTTGAAGAAGTTTTAAAGTTTTAAGGTGATACCTGACCGGAAGAAGCTTGGATGGGCTGTGGGGTTAAACTGCCAACTGAAGTGGTATTTATAGCTCTTGAAGATCTAGAAACTGTTATGTTTTAACCAATAGATTTTAGAATGTTGTTGTATGCATTAAATGTTCTGTTCAGCCTCACATTTTTTCTTGTATATTAAAGTACGGAGTAACTTTTAAGATATCAAAGTACACTCCATTTAATGCTCCATTTAATATTGTGTATGGATCCCCTCTGAGATCAAATCTACCTCAATATACGAACACAGTTTCCCAGTTTGAATTACACAGCATTTACTGCTTGTATGGAGCCATGAGCTTGACACTGACAGGTTTTTATTGAGCCACAAAAAAGGTCATTTTTAGGCTTTTAGCCAACAATAATTGACCAAATAGTGGCCTCTAACATTTCGAGTACATTGATCGTCCTTTTTTATTATTTTTGCAGCACAGTTTTTGACATTATTTTATTGAGCCCCTAAATTAATTTCTTGAGCTACCAAAACTGCATTGGACAGTGGGCCAGCATTTAAAATTACTGAGCAGTAAAGGAAGGTTGCTGAATGACCCGTTTTTGAACCCATTTTTAACTGACCCGACCCGTTACTGTATTGCATTTGGGCGGGAACACTGTTCATTTTTTCTTTTGTCTTTGTATAATAGAAGATAATCGCAGTAGTATTTCCCTAGAGGCATTTTTAGATTAAAAATCAAACAGTGCTTACTCTGAAAACAAGATTTGTTATAAAAAATGGGAAAATTGTAAAATAGGTACTCGAACTTTCATAAAAAGTCAATTACGTCCTTCTATAGAAGACTCTGTCCGGTCATCGTGATTTGGGGCGATTCCCGGTGGAATTTTTTGATGAAGTTTTTTGAGCATCTTATTCATCAAGTCTAGTTTACTCATACCAAATTTCAGCTAAAAATTTAATCGGAAGCGCCTTCAAATTAATTCGAGAATGCAAAAATGCGCAGTTATCTTCAAAAATTAATTTGAATGTGTTTCTGATTGAATTTTTAGCTGAAATTTAGTATGAGTAAACTAAACTTGGTGACTAAGATGCTCAAAAAATTTCATCAAAAAATTCTTCCGGGAACTTCCCTAAATCGCGACGGCCGGACAGAACCTTCTATAAAGGGACTTAATTGACCTTTTTATGAAAGTTCGAGGACCTATTTGACAGTTTTCCCTAAAAAAATTCTAAACCTTGACTAATGATAAAAGTTTGTACAAATATGATTTTGAAGATGTGAAAGTTAAAATGTTCACTGAAACTTATTTTTTGTGTCATAGAAAACTTTAAAACTTTTCTCAACACACTTAGGACATGTTTAGTTCAATACTAAAGTAACAGTTAGATTAATATGACATGTGAAGTAAGTACACATACTGCTTAAATACGGTTTACTAACACAACACATGTGTTCAAAGTGACACTTACTAAGTATATCATCCGCACGTATCGTTTAACTGGCAGTTTAAGTTTTTTCAATTTCCGCATTTACTCTTACCTCTTACCTTTGTCCTTACCCCTACTCTAACCTCTACCTAACTCGAACCTAACCCCTACCTTATGCCCCCTACCCTACCCATAACTCCCCTAGGGGTGGGTAGAATGATAGGGGAAGAAGGGCAGAAGTAGGGATAAGTTTACGAGTAGGGTATGGGTATGCGTATAGTAGAGAGTAGGCCCCACATATTTATACATGAATGTTTATTTGTAAGTCTATAATTATATATATGTATACGGTTACTTTGTGAACTTTAATGTTAAATGGTGTTTCAAATCCAGTAAAGTAAACATGAGTTATAGCACTGGTTATTTTAAGCTCCGCTCATTAATCCAAGTCTTAATAAACACTGCTTAATAACTGGTGAGGTAAATGTGTCCTTAACATTGTTAAAGTCTGATTGAATTTACTAAATCTGTTGAATTATAAGTAAAAACTGAAAATATATCTTATTAATAAAATAAAGAAAAATGTTACATATACAAATACCTAAAATACTTCTCTTCGGTAATTTAAGCCAGAAAAGTAATTCTAAACTTAATTTGATTATTACACAATTCATTATACAAAATTAAAGATCACATATAGATTTAAAAAATGACTAATAAGCCTTGTAAGTTGAAAATATTAATTACCAAGCAACCCCTTAGGTTGGATTTATGTGTATAAATTTTATTAATATATTTACATTAAGATTAAATGTTTTAATTTATTGTCACTTGTGAGACGTGTTGAAATCTATTTGTTAACTCGAATAAAATATTCTTCTTGTGCACACTTTTTAATACACATCATCTTATACATGTCTTATACTCGCCTCTTATACACAACTCCGATTTTAAAAAGTGTCTAGAAAGTTCAAAGAATAATATTGAGAGTTGTGTCTCATCACGGCGATCTCCAGATCATCTTTCTTTTTTGTTTTCAGTCACAATTGTCGCCAGAAAGTCCATGAGAAAAGTGATACTAGCAAATTCTTTTTTGAAAATTAATCCAATTAGAGTACAAATAATTTATGTTCAATTTTTATGCTTAAACGACTAAAATAATATATTATAGCCACGATTATTTATTTTTAGTAAAGGGAAAAATATCAAATAAACTCTTCTCTTATTTCCAATCCATCATTTAAGGCCGTGTACTAAAAAAGTATCATATACACGTACGCTTACTTAAAAAAATTGATCAACTTGGCCATTTATTCAGTTTTGACCAGTAATAGCAGTTTTTTATATTCAAAAACTCTAAAAAATTATTAAAATTTGAAGAAATGTGGATAAAAACTGTGAAAATTTTCAGAATATCAAAGTCAATTTATTTGAATTTTTGAAATTATTTGTATATTCTACATGTATTTAAAATGTTATTACCATTTATATTTTATATTTTTTACATTTCCACTTTATATTTTCATTTTTCTGATTGTTTTATTTTAGCTATTTTAAATTATTTTTCTATTTTTACATTCATGATAATTTTTTATATTTTTATTACTTTTCAAATTTATTTGAATTTTTAAAAGATTTATTAATAATTCTAATTTATTTTTTAAAAAATAATTTCCTATAGCATGCCCTAATGGCTTGATGGATTGTATTTAAAAAGTAAGTGTACTTATATGTGCTTGTTAATAGATGGGCTTAAATGATAGATTGTATATAGTAGAAGAGTCTATTTGACCTTTATGAGAACTTAAGTGGTTATAAGATCAGATCGGATATATTATAGCCACTAATTATTCATATTTTAGTAAATAAGTTTAAGTTTAGTAATATTTTTCAAAAACTCTCTTGATTTAATATATTAAAATATGGTTTGGTGAAAACCCATTGCATGTTCAATTAACAAGATCTGTGTAGTTGATAATTCATTCATTACACACACATACGTACATATGCATTTTTGTTTGGAACAGTTATAGAAAATTAAATAAATGAGACGTTGATGATTTGTATATTTATTTAGAAATTGTATGTTCTGCAAATGAGTTTTTATAGGAGTTAACAAGTTTCTAGTAAATGAAAAGTCGTGCGGTCTAGAGAGAGGAGTGCTAAAGCGGAAGGGAAAACCCTAACCACCTTCTATTTTCTTTTCTTCTCTTCCTTCAATTGTTTTGGCTTCAATTATGAAAAAGATTCATTTGATAACTATTTTCAGTTCTATTTATAAATTAATTTCCTAGCGTTATCTAGAGATGTTATTTTCGGTAACGAGTTGTCGTCTACCAGATGTATATTCCTCGTCATCGGTCGGGTGTTCTTGTGTGCTAGTAATAGATTTCTAGCGACTTCTTCATCAATCATAAATCTGGATTTCTTCTGCATCAATATTGAGACCGATCGCCCCCTCCTAAACCACCAACGATCCAGGAAGATGGGATTGCATGGATTGCTTTCTTTCCAGTGGCAGGTGAAACCGAAACAAATTTGGTACTTGGCTCCTTATCGGTGGCTTGCAGAACCAGGAAATTTAGTAGTTCCTTGTTGGTGGCTGGTCAAACCGGATCCATTTTGAGTAGCATGAGCAGTCCTATTGCGGTACTAGTCTACATCGTTGCATTGTTAGCAAATAGGAGCACCTTTTTAGGTTTTTGTTGTTCTTTATCTCACTCTAGTGTAGTTTTGAATGCTATAATTGTAATGTTTTGACTTTTGATTATTATGTTTCTTGATACTCTAATCAATAATAATTAAGTTGTTTGTTTTTAAAAAAAAAATGTACTCCGTATATATAAATTTATTGATGGATATTTAGAGTTATATTTTTTGGGCATAGAATACTTAAACCGTTTGAAGATGGAGCATGCCTGAAATTCTACTTTTGAGGTCATTTTACATCTCTGGTTTGCAATCTGTGTCTCACGATAGAGTGTAGTCTATACTTGGATAATCTTTATCTCCTTCAAGAACAATAGGAAGTATTTGATTGTTAATATTGCTATAATATCTGTAAATACATTTAGAATCGGAGATTATAAAACAAAACATTTGGAATGTTTTAATGGTGGTTGCAGCAAATCCTAAATTGGTGATTGAATGTGCTATTTAATTCTTTCTGAACTTATAGATGAGCGTCTTCTAAACACATGCTTACATTTTTTTCTGGTACAATATAAATGAAATAACTGTTACAATAAAAAAAGGTGCCAAAAATTACATTTTTACTTCTAAATTGCACTATATATGTTTTGAAATCAAATTGCAATAAAAGATTTTAGGGTTTTGTTATGGAAGTCGGCAAGCATATTTTAGGAGATATATTATTAATTATATTTATGATATGTAATCTCTTATTTTAGGATCCTATTTATATCTTTCCATCTAGAATAGTCTACTCTTGCTTATTTATACGGTTGTACTCCTGGGCGTTGGAATAAGAATAATAACAATGTTATTTCCTCATGCATCTTTCTTGTTTATCATGGTATCAGAGCCAAGGGGGATCAACCTGTGATGAACGTTCTCAAGAATTCAGCTCTGTCATCTATTATGGCAGTAGGAAACGGCGAAGATAATTCTTCACCAAAAATCGACCATATGTCCCAACTCTTCCTGGGAACACAAGATAGGTCGGCCAATTTCATAACGACCGTACATGGGATGGGGCAGAATCTTGAAAACCGATCTGAATTCATGGGTTTGTCGTTGCGAACTGAGAAGCGCAGCATGGGTCAGATGGTGCAGGGGACAAATCAACCCGACAAAATTGAACTGATGAACGATAGTGGAAGAATTGGGTACAAAGATGGAATAGCCGGGCATGGTCATGAGAGTGTCCGAATTCATGCTTCCGCGGTGGAGTCTTCTTCTTGTGGAACATATGCCGTAGTGGAACAAATGGAAGGGCAAGGCCTTCCAGGCTTGAAACCCGAACAGTGGCAGGCCCTTTTGGCAACTTTTGGTAAACCTAACTCTATTAATAATGGAGTATCCGGTAAATTTGATGTTTTTTCATGGATAATTGATACAGGAGCATCTAATCATGTGACCGGGAATCTTTCTTGCTTAAGTGATGTCCAGGATATTAATCCGTGTTCAGTTGGATTACCAAATGGTCAAAAAGTAATAGCTGCTAAAGAGGGATATGTCCACTTGTCTGAATCAATATGCTTATCTCATGTTCTATTTGTTCCAAAATTAAACTGCAGCCTTATTTCAGTGTCCCAACTTGCAGAAGACCTTGATTGTTTTATTCAATTCACTGCTAATATTTGTGCTATTCAAGATGGGAACTCGAGAAGACTGATTGGAGCGGGTGAGCGGAGGAATGGACTCTATTATTTTCAGGATGTCTCTCGTACTCAAATTTTTGGTGTTCAGAAAGGAACTGATCACGTGACCACTTGGCATAAGCGGATGGGACATCCTTCAGAAACAGTTATGAAATGGCTCCGACCTGTGAGTGGTTATCCCAATACTATTTCTCTTCCTTGTGAGATTTGTTTTAGAGCTAAACACGCTAGAGATACTTTTCCTCTAAGTGTTAGCAAAAGTACCCGAATTTTTGAACTTATCCACTGTGATTTGTGGGGACCGTATCATACACCTTCCTCTTGTGGTGCTAAAAGTTTTTTGACCATTGTTGATGATTTCTCCCGGGCTGTTTGGGTATATCTCTTGGTTGATAAAACAGAAGTTTTTCCTATGTTTATGAATTTTTGTGCTATGGTGGAGCGTCAGTTTTCTCAAAATATTAAGATTGTTCGTAGTGACAATGGGACTGAGTTTAATTGTCTCAAAGATTTTTTTCGGACCTCTGGCATTATTTTCCACACTTCGTGTGTTGCTACACCACAGCAAAATGGGCGAGTTGAACGTAAACATCGTCATATTCTTAATGTTGCTCGTGGTCTCAGATTTCAGACTAATCTTCCAATTAAATTTTGGGGGGAATGTATTTTGACTGCTGCCCATCTTATTAATCGGACCCCCTCTACCGTCTTGCACCACAAAACCCCCTTTGAAATACTTTTTGGTAAAATTCCTGATTATGATGCTCTACGGGTATTTGGGTGTCTATGTTTTGCATATAATCTTCGCTCTACTAGAGATAAATTTTTGAGCAGGACCCGCAAATGCATTTTCATTGGGTATCCTTTTGGTAAAAAGGGATGGCATGTTTATGACATTGAAACCGAGGAGTACTTTATCTCGCGGGATGTCAAATTTATTGAGGATATTTTTCCTTTTGCCACACCTCAGACCCCTGCCATAGAGGAACCTCTACCGCTACCACCTTTGGATACTTGGGAATATCCTTCGACTGCACCAGCATCACAGGCTCTTGTCCCTCCGCCTGTTGATGTCCCCCCTGTTCCTGCAATTACCGAATCTGAGGTGCCGTCTGATTCCAGACCTTCATCACCAGACATGGGTCGTGGGAAACGCATTAAACTTCCGTCTGTTCGCTTAAGAGACTTTGAGACGCATACCATAATGCTTGATAGCCCATTCCCCGCTCCATCCTCTTCATCGGCTAGCTCAGGTACACCGTTCCCTATAGCTCATTATATTAATTGTGATAAATTTTCTGACCGCTATCGAGTATTTATGACGGCACTCTCCGTTAGTAAAGAACCGACCTCGTTTAAAGAAGCTGTTAAAGATTCTAGTTGGCGTGATGCTATGCGCGTTGAAATTCGTGCTCTTGAACAAAACCGTACATGGACCATGCAGCCTCTTCCACCTGGAAAAAGGGCGTTGGGCTGTCGTTGGGTATATAAAATCAAATACCACTCTGATGGTAGTATTGAACGGCTTAAAGCTCGTTTAGTTATATTTGGCAATCGCCAGATTGAGGGACTTGATTACAATGAAACTTTTGCCCCTGTGGCCAAAATGGTCACAGTCCGCGCCTTCTTGGCTGTTGCTGCGTCTAAAAATTGGGAGCTTCATCAGATGGATGTTCATAATGCATTTTTGCATGGGGATTTGGCAGAAGAAGTTTACATGCAGGTTCCGCCAGGATATGTTGCTTCTAATCCCTCTTTGGTGTGCCGCTTGCATAAATCTCTTTATGGGCTGAAGCAGGCCCCTCGTTGCTGGTTCGCTAAGTTAGTTGGTGCCCTTAAAGGATATGGATTTCTCCAATCTTATGCTGATTATTCGCTGTTCACACGCACTAGAGGGTCTATACAACTTAATGTTCTGGTTTATGTTGATGATCTAGTTATATCTGGTAATGATCATGATTCTATTCTCCACTTTAAAGCCTATCTTAGCGAATGTTTCCACATGAAAGATTTGGGCTCTCTTCGGTATTTTCTCGGGATAGAAGTGGCCCGCAGTCCATCTGGTCTCTTTCTTACACAACGCAAATACACTATGGATATTCTCTCGGAAACCGGACTTCTTGGAGCTAAGCCCGCAGACTTTCCTATTGAACAAAATCATTCTCTAGCCAAAGATCAAGGACCTGTTTTGACTGATCCAGCGCCCTATCAACGTCTTCTTGGGCGCCTTATTTATCTTGCTGTGACTCGCCCTGATTTGACATATTCTGTTCATATTTTGTCTCAGTTTATGCAGGCCCCTTGTCAAGCTCACTGGGACGCTGCGCTGCGTGTTGTTCGCTATCTTAAGGGTTCTCCTGGACAGGGCATTCTCCTTCGTGCTGATAGTGAGCTTTCTCTCACTGGTTGGTGTGATTCTGATTGGGCTGCATGCCCACTCACTCGTCGCTCCCTATCTGGATGGCTAGTTTTTCTTGGGCACTCTCCTATTTCATGGAAAACCAAAAAGCAGTCCACTGTTTCTCGTTCTTCCGCCGAAGCAGAATACCGGGCTATGGCTGCCGCCACATGTGAACTTAAATGGCTCAAGGCCTTGCTTCTCAGCCTTGGAGTTAATCATGACACAGCTATTCCGTTGTTTTGCGATAGTCAGTCTGCCTTGCATATTGCCCGGAATCCTGTTTTTCATGAACGAACTAAACATATTGAGGTGGATTGTCATTTTATTCGTGATGCTATCAAATCTGATCTCATTGCCCCCAGCTACGTTCCTACCACTATGCAACTTGCTGACATTTTTACTAAAGCTCTCGGGAAAACACAGTTTCACTTTCTTCTGCACAAGTTGGGCATTCTGGACCCCCATGCTCCAACTTGAGGGGGGGTGTTATGGAAGTCGGCAAGCATATTTTAGGAGATATATTATTAATTATATTTATGATATGTAATCTCTTATTTTAGGATCCTATTTATATCTTTCCATCTAGAATAGTCTACTCTTGCTTATTTATACGGTTGTACTCCTGGGCGTTGGAATAAGAATAATAACAATGTTATTTCCTCATGCATCTTTCTTGTTTATCAGGTTTCAAAGAATCAATTAGAAATGTAAAGATTTGAGTTTTGAAACCTTAAAATCTCATAATTTGAGGAGACTATGCAAGTGTAAAATCTAGAAATTGAGTTTCAGAAAAAAATCAAACTGAAAGTATATGCTTTAATGTATATGCAACGTCTTTATGAAATGAAGTCAAATGTCAATTAGCTATTCACTTATCCTCATACCACCTCGGTAGCTAGATAGAATTTTATTGAATTGTAACGAATGATTTTAAGTTTTCAGATAATTAATCAGTAACATGAAAATTTGAGTTTTTAAAACTGTATAATCTCATATTTTAAGCAGATATTGTAACCAACGAATCTAGGAAATTGAGTTTCTGGAATTTCAAAATTACTTGTTCCCTTGGAAGGTTTTGTAAATTAAGCAAATACTACCTCCGTCCCAAAATTAACTTCTCAGTTTGACTTCACACAGATTAAGAAAATAAATTTGACTTTACTGTGGAGTGTACTGTTTTGCACTATTTAAACACTGTTTGAACACTATTTGACACTTTTTTTATGTAGATTATTTGCCAAATAAGGAAAGTTTTGAAGTGTGAAGTTAATTTTGGGAGTGTCTGAAAAGGAAAGTGAGAAGTTAATTTTGGGACGGAGGGAGTATGTTATCTTGAAAAGATTGGAACCTTAAAGTATATGCAAGGTCTATGCGAAGTAAGATGGTTTTGGAAAGTATGTAGCCCTACCTAAAGTATATGTATCCTTAAACTATCTGTGAAGTACTTCGTATAAGCTTTTTTATTGTAAATGTATAAAGTCTAAAGTTGTTTGATTCATAGTTATTTATTTCAATGATTTTGTTTAGAGGTAGTTAAGGAAGAAATAAAAATTAACTAACTCGTCCATGAGCAGCAGTTCCACTGAAATAGGATTAGAGGAAGCGAGGAGCTACTGATATTTTATTTTGGTTATACTCAAACCACGAGCATTTGCAATAATGGCTCAACTTTCTTTTGTAGGTATTGATGCATATAAGAGATCATGTGGAGATTCCATGGGAGGTGAATTTGAAAAGTGAGAGAAGAATTATCTAATTGTGAGAGAGGTGTGAGTCGTGACTATGGATGTGGAGAAACACTAATGATATATAAGATGATAGTTGTGCGAAATGAGGTGCTAATTAAATTATGAGTAAGAAATTAGGAATTAGTCAAGTGAAATTGTGTTAAAATTTATTATTCATAAATCCTATTTGAGGAAATTAATTATATCAATTAATTGTATTAGGGATAGAAATGTAATATTTAGTCCGATTTAAAGAAATCAAACATATGATCATACTTTGGTTAAATGCTACGAGTACTACGTATGCTTTACTCCTATCATAGGTAATTTCCTATGTGTAATATGTTAAAAACAATTAAATAAATAAGTAAATAAATGAATCAAATGTAATTCATCCATCAAAGCATGGTTCTACAAGAATAAATTAAGATTAAGAATCCAAAATTATTTTTGTTAAAAAGAAACTCAAAATTTCAGGAATGCTCAACAATCTCGATCTACTTGTGATCAATTGTTATACTCCGTATTACACAACTCAATGAGTAAGAACATTGATCATTACACAAGCGTTAAACTCATTGCTACATGCGGTACAAACATAGGTGCAATCGAGCTTTTCTTCTTAATGATAGTTTTCTTTTCATTTTTAGCTTGTTAAATTTTGTGTACTTATACGTTAAATATTTAGTAATTTGAAATTATATTTTTACGTGTTAGCAGTTTAACAATGAAACACATTGATGGTTATTTTTTCTTAATGATTAACTAACAACGTACCATAATTGCACCAATTCAATACTATCGATTCTTATATCGGTTCCTCTAAAAACTTCAAGAACCGAATCAATATGGGATTAACGGTTCAAGAACTGAACCAATCTCACCCTTACATTTTCCTTCGTAAGATGACATATAAAATATCACTTTTTATTTTTTTTAAAAATTGAAAAGATAAGTTTATCTTGTGTATCAATATTAAAGTAGAAATTCCTTGTACAACTTTATTTATCGTAAAATGATGGGGAAAAAAATCAAAATCTATTGTTCCAATCTTGCATATTGAGACCATCCTGGTACCCGCCTTCCGTTTCGATCAGTACTAGTCCGGGACATGAAGGCTGGTTTGTCATCCCGACCAAATAATTAGCTAAATCTGCAATCAGATCTATGCGTACTTGTGATGAGTAGATGATAACTATAAAAGTCCACGAAAATATTTGGTGAAAAGAATAGAAAATTGCAAAGAATTAATGTACTATCAATGAGTTAAAATTCCACGAAAAATCCGTGATTTTAGAAGTCTATATTAATTAAATACATCAGACTTTTGTAAACTTTTAAAACTCCACATTGAATACACCTAAACTACTTTTAAAATACATGAACTTTAAATTTTGCCATTAATTCCTAAAACAATACACCCCACTTAAACTATGTGAAAAATCAACTGACACACTAGTTTTGATATGGAGATAATATTATTTAGGTTAACGGGTCAAATATGCCCTCGAACTAACTTAAAAAGTGCAATTCACCCCTTATATAGGAGGCTCAGCCCGGCCGTCTCCAATTGGGGCGGTTCCCGGTGGAATTTTTTGATGAATTTTTTGAGCATCTTCTTCATTAAGTCTAGTTTACTCAGACTAAATTTCAGATAAAAATTCAACCGAGAAGACAATCAAATGATTTTCTGAAATGTACTGCGCAATTATCTTCAAAAATTCATTTGACTGTTTCCCGATTGAATTTTTATCTGAAATTTGGTACGAGTAAACAAGACTTAAGAAGATGCTCAAAAAATTTTATCAAAAAATTCAACCGGAAACCGCCCCAATTGACGACAGTGAGCCTCTATATAAGAGGTGAATTGCACTTTTTAAGTTAGTTCGAGAGTCTATTTGACCCTTTAGCCTATTATTTATTTATAGACAAACCATATCAAATCATCTATCAGTTTGGTAATCTCTGGTATGAATAAATAGCCTTAAATGCAGAGGGAAAACAGATCAAGGGCCTATTAGAAAACCCCAATAAAGAAGATCTTGCTTGGCAAGATGGTCAAGTGAAAGAGCCGATTACAGCTTTTATGTACCAGATTCATTGTATGAGTCTCATAAGAAAAATTGGGTATATAAAAATTCAATATCATCAATAATCAAAATGAGATGGTCCACCCTCGGAAAAGACACATATGTATACATGTTTATTCATTATTAATACAATAAATCTGATGACATGAATACACTAGAGTTTAGGAGGATACTCTTTTTTAGGGAAGTTTAGGAGGATACTCTTTTTTTAGGGAAGTTTAGGAGGATACTCTAAAAGGACCTTCCAACTGCCCCAGTTATTGCAAATATACATAAAATAAATCAACACAGTCCTCTTGTTTAAGATAACAAATATGTGCACGTATTTACTAATATGGAGTAGTAAATACTATGAAGTCTCAATTCACAAGGATATCTTTCGCAGTACCAAAATCAGTGCCTTTCTCGTATAAAATCATGTGGTGGAGACTTCTTGGAATCAAAACCTGCGAATGGAAGTTGCAATTTTTAGTTCGCCTGCTCTTGTTATATATAGTTATATACTTATGTAGTTACGGGTAATTCTTGGTGTACCAAAATTTGTACACTATATGTGTATACATGCATCTTTTTTTACGAATGGCGTGTGTACTAATTTTGTGTACAACAAAAAAATTCATATAGTTTTATCCCTAGATAAGCATACACATACTTAAAGCTATAAATGACATGGCCCCTTTGTTTATGAATATTTAAATATTAACTCTGAGGTGATGTGAAACATTTGAACAAAGTGCCCTGAACACTTCTCCGTACTCCGTATTAACTCTGGGAGTGATGTGAAACATTTGAACAAAGTCAGCTGCAGTATAGGTTCCAAGAGGCACAGTGAAATGCAGACATTATTATGCCTCCACACCGTCCATCTATATTTTATTATTATCCCAAATGTTGGATTTGGCGTGGGACCATTCTCCACATCCAAAGGTATGAAGGAAACAACAATCCTTCACACAATTCCTTGAATACAACTAAAACCGAACACATCCCTAATCACGACATCATTGTTTTTTCCCCTCAATCTCATTCACTAATAAATACTTTTATTAATGCAATTTGATCGTGTTTTATTCCTGTTTGAATCAATTTGTTAAACGCCTTCAAGGTTACTATGGCGTTTCTAATTATATATAATGGGGATAAGGGTCAGATAGGGCCTCGAACTCGAAAAAAAATGTCAAATAAGGTCATATTTCGGATGCTCTGTCTGGCCGACGCCATTTGGGGCGGTTCCCGATGGAATTTTTTGATGAAATTTTTTGAGCATCTTCCTCATTAAGTCTAGTTTACCCATACCAAATTTCAGCTAAAAATTCAACCGGGAAGGTAGTCAAATAAGTTTCCGAAATGTACGGCGTTGTTTAACTTCACAGTTATCTTCAAAATTTCATTTGACTACCTTCCCGATTGAGTTTTTAGCTGAAATTTGGTATGGGTAAACTAGACTTAATGAGGAAGATGCTCAAAAAAATTTATCAAAAAATTCCATCGGGAACCGCCCCAAATGGCGTCGGCCAGACAGAGCATCCGAAATATGATCTTATTTGACATTTTTTTTCGAGTTCGAGGCCCTATCTGACCCTTATCCCTATATAATGCTTTTTAATCACTTTAAGATTGAAGTGTCTGTAAAACAAACTCACCAGCTTTGTTTCCTGGCACATCAATTGAGTTCATCGAGTTAATGGCTAGGTTGTTGTCTCTATCATGAGCTAGTTGCTCACCTTTTTGCGCCAATGCAGGATGAAACAGATTTCATACTCCGTATGTTACATCTGGGACATTAGGGCAAAACTCTTGGTTAATGAGTGCACCATCAAGTAGTCAACTATGTCATTATTAAGGCACTTCAAATTGATCATAAAAGTATAAAACCACATATTCACATCATCATCTATAAGAATACTACGGAGTAGTTCTTTAGTAGGGTAACACAACAATTAGAAGGGTGACTGTATATTTTGGAACTTGGAAGGACATCAGACTTTATATTTTATAAGGAGTATAAATATATAGAAACAAAGATTGGAAGGATGTGGAAATTGCAGATTATAAAACTAAAGGAATAAATTAAGGTCATGTAATCATGCATATCCCACTTTTTAGCCATTACAGAAGCTTAGTCTAACAAGAGTAATTTAAAAAGGCCCTTCAAAGCCTCAGCTTGGGAAGAAAATGTTATGAAGCCCAAGTTAATTTCAGATGAAGTAAAAAACAATTTTCTAATAGTTCATAGTCTAGCAGAATTCATCAAAATGACACCTCAGGTTGAAGCCTCAAAAGGTGTTGCAATATCTAATGCCCAAGCTATCCTTATAGTCAGGGAATTACACAAGCTGCAAATGTAAAACAGCAAGCGTTACTCATAAGATCAACAAGTGCTGCAACGACTAGACAAGAACTACAGAAAAACATGTGATATTTCAGGTTGAAGCCTCACAATTAGGATCCTAGTCTTCTACTTTTTTGTACAAAGGCTTCCTGATTTTGTTAGATGTAAATTAGGATTATTCGCTTACGTTTTGCTTTATAGACAAGTCTGCAATCTCTATAACTTAATAGAAAGAGGCTAACACACACAATATGTCAGTTGTACATGGCATTTCTAAGTTTAATAGTAAAACATTATAAACCCTCTATATTTATTAACTTTCCTGATAATAAGGAAGTATGTTTTTGGAGTGCAAAGAAATCAAAGATAAGAAATTATAAACCCTTTCTTGTAGAACACTGCAACTTAAGTTGAAAATAGCACAAAACCCCTTCTGAAGTCACAGAAAAAGGATACTGGGCTAACTTTTAGAAATTATGAGACATGGGAAGATCATGGATAGGCACACACCTGAGTTGAAGTATTATTTACTGATTGGTTGTGATCAGTAGTATACATTAGTTGCAAGTTTTTGGTCTTCACTGCATCTTTGTAATTGATGCACATGGTACTTCTACACGAGTTTCCATCTTTGAGGCACTCATACCCACAACTGAATTTGTTGCAGGTGGAGGAATGGTAGGTGCTTCTGTGGTTGGTATTCGAGGACAAAGACCAGGATGCCCGAAAGTTGGAAAATTAGATGCAACTATTGGTGGAAAGGTAGTAGGACTAGAAGAAGGTGGATGACCAAAACTTGGACAATCACCAGGCCCAGAAAATGGTGAGGGAGACATTTGTGCTTGTTGCATATGCGGTATTGGAAATGGACATACAGGGGATACACCATTCATGGATTGCATACGCATGCCAAAACCCATCGTCATTCCCATTCCTAAGCCAAACAAGGGAAAATGTTGCATCTGAGAAGCAGGCATGCCCACTGGATACATCATTTGAGGCATGCAAAAACCTGTTCCCATTGACATGATCTGCAATAAGTTGGTATTACTGTCAATGCAACTATGATTACAAGAACCCTTTACATGGTATACAAAATCTGATTTGCCAGGAAGAAACTAGTGAGTAAAACATTGAAGCTAAAAAAGGCTGTGCATCAGAGGAAGACCAATTTTTAGTTGATGAACTTTACTAGGTGCAAAAAGTAAACTTTGTCCTTTCATGCAATTTTGTCAAATACTCAAGTCTACCCCGGTAGCCCACAGAATAACTAAATGAATTAATGAGCATCAACAAAAAATTCTATTTTACCTGCAATTGAAGTTGAAGTGTCTTCAGATACTCAATAGCTTCATCAAGCATTGAAGCTTTATCCATCTAGAAATAAGATACAAATAACACACGTATTAGTTAGGAGGGGAAATCACATACAAGTGATTCAGGCTAGCTGCATATATCTTACCTAAATACTTGAAACAATATTTTATTTTCAGTAAGTACCGATTTCACTATTTTTGCTAATAGACTCCAAACATTTGAAGGCTGATTTTTAAGATTGAAAACAGAAATATTAAGCTCGTGAAACAACATTATAATGAGACAGTTTTATTACCTTATTGCAGTTGGGTATGAGGTCTTGTAGCGCTAGCATCTTTTCATCTATCTTTTCCCTCTGCCATTGAAAGAAACTGTTATTAATAAGTCATTTTAAGGTTTAGTTGGTGCTAAACACATGAAACACAAAAAATAAGAGAAAACACAGTATAATAAACTAGTACTAGGTGTGATAGCACAATATCATATGGGGTTAACATTCATCAGGTGGTTCTACTTACCCTGTCAGAGAAATTGTGCTCTCTGCTTCTCTTTAGCCCAGTACCTCCTCGACCAGGAGCCATTGTATTCACACTAGTACATTCATCTTCTATATCCTGAACACAAACCAATTTTGTTGTGAACACCACATATCGAATGACAGACCTATCTAAAGACATTAAAAATAGCGGTTACTCAACACATACTTCATGAAATTTTCTTTTTAAAAGATTTGACCGATCATTTGAATTTTTCTTTGGACTATTGCCAGAACACATAGAAGAGCAAGCAGCCCCAGCTTCAATAGCTCTATCTCGTCCTAGGACTCCATAGGGATTGTGGTTATTCATCACACCATCTCTAAAAGAAGTATTGGGCTCTTTAATGGGGAACACGTCATTGTGAGTCTTAGCTGTAGCTTGAATCTTAGCATGTCGTAATTTAAGCTGATTTAGGAGGCATGTTTCCTTTTTTGAGGTACTACACGTTTCAGCAGCTGCAACGTTTGCTAGACAAATCCAATTCACATTCATCACTTTCTCTTTATTTTCCCTTGACTTGACCGGCCTTGTGAAATGAGAGAAGTTTAACAAACTGGGGTCACTCCTCTCTGGATTTTGCATTCTAATACCAGCAGAAGCTTCACCAGGAAGTGAATCTAGCAAAACAGAATCTATGTTGTTACTGGCATGACTGACCATGATATCTGAATTTCCTGATACTAGGGGTCGCACTACTGGACGGTACGCTTTAGCATATGACCATGAATCAACTTTTGATACACTTCTCTGAGCCATCTGGTTAGAACCACATGTCCTATTGTTCTGTGCGGGCAGTTCATTTGCGGCGAGACCAGTTACTTCAGGCACTAATACAGAACTAAGATCTTGCTGCAGGCTATCATTTAGCGAGTAATCTAACCGTCCTATTTCATCCAAAGTTGAATCCATCAAGAAAATTCGACCAGTCCTCGGGGAAGATGAATTTCCTTTAAAGTTTTCTCGATTCATGGGCGTTTTTGAGGACAGGATGTAAGATGCAGCAGCGCCGCTCTTAGCTTTAGCCGACTGTCCTTGCACAACAATCCGGCCATTTTCCGGTACAATCTCAATAGCACTTTCCTGACTGCATATACACAAATCGAAACAATCAGACAACAATCGATTCATTTCTTAATAATGATACGAAAAGTAGCATCACAAAGACAGGTAATAACGGATTGATTGCGATAACTCACAGAGAAGATCGATCGGCTGAAGATGAAGTTGCCTTTTGCTCTGCAAAGTCAAGCTGATTGAACTTCACAAACTGAGAGAGAGCCATGATTAATTTATCTGCTTGCAAATACTTCCCTGGAAATTATTATGTACAAGTAAGAGAGGAAGCAGGAATTATTAGGAGGCTGGAGCCCTCCCACCTGTACTATAGTTCTTTAATTTAGTACTATTATCGGTAATGCCATTTTCATTCTTTATTTAAAACAAATACTCACACTTCCAATTTTACCTTGTCACATTATTGATAGTCGAAATCTCAAAATCGACGAAAATGGGGTGACACTTATAAAATTGAGAAAAACTATTTGTACATAAAGTTTGTACACATTTTGCACATATTGTGCGTAATTGTCTGTACACACAGATAATGTGTATATCCCTAGTTGTTTATGTACACAAACAACTCATGTAGCATTTCTGTGTGTAGATGATTACGTACAATTGATACAAATGTGTGTGAAATATGTACAAATTTTATGTACAATAACAAAACAAGAAATGTTGTATAAAGTTTAGTCCGTTTAAAAGTAGTAGGGAGTATCGTTTACTTGAAGGACTACTTCAGTTCTCACCTGAAAATGCTTTGAAATTTATAAATTTTATTTATTTTAAAAATAATATTATCGGGATGAAAGTTGTACTAAAGGAGTTTTTATTAAGTCATTGAGTTTATCCTAAAAGGTTAACCTGATAGGAGGAGTAGAACAAAGCCTTATATAGTGTTTTTATTGTTTTATAGTTTTTCGGTGTTGGACAAATACTTTTAACATGCCCCCTCAGCCGAAACCGGACTGTACAATATCATGGTGTATAAATGGGCCAAATAGACCCTTAGCAAGCTACCCCTAATCATGAATGTTAAACAGGAAGTCAAACCATAACCGAATTTGACTTTGTATCATGTTAAGACCCAAAGTTTCATCCTAAAAGATCAACCAGATAGGAGGAGTAGCTCAAAATCTTATATAATGTTTTTAAAGATGATATAACTAGGCTGAATCAAAACATTAAAATGAAGATAAAATTCTCTAAGACAATTGCGAAGTAAGCAAAAATAAGAGAAACATAATATAAATAGGGGGTCATAAATATTACCATAAACTTAGTTGTGGATAAACCAATGACTTTTTAAAAAAAATTCAAAAAATGTGACTAATATGCACTAAACTTACTATATTACCCCTAAAACTGACAATAACTTGAACCAACCCAATTACAGTTACTCACCACACTCAGTTACATTTATCAGACTCGTCCAATTGTAGTTAATTGACCAATCAGTTGGAGTTACATGACCCGAGTTTCAATTTTCCGATTTGACTAGTTACAATTATTCGACCCGATTAATTACAATTACAAGACCCGATCAATTAGAGTTATCACCGCCAGTGACCTGATTTTCAAACAAAACTACCGTGACACTGTCACCCGCCGCTGCACTGCAAACTACCCACTGTGACAATTAAATGGCCGACAATTACCACTGCCCACCTACAATGACCACCCACCTTGATCCTCTCTAGCGGATAGCCTCTCCAACCCCTCCCTAGGCCATCCCTCTTCGTGCCCCTATCCCTTGCACAATCGCTGCCTCACCCCAGCCCCTGCAACTATTGCACCCCACCACCACTCCGCGACCCCATATCCAGCTTCAGCTCTGACCAACCCACTCTCAGCTCCAACCAACCCACTCTCAGCTCCGACCAACTCAACCATTCCCAACCCCACCACCGCCCACCCCTAACCAATCCTAGCCCGAAAAACCATCCACCAAAATCATATCAAGAATACAACCGCTGCAAATTGAACTAAATCCTAGCTTATCAGGATTCATCCTCGCCGCTGCTTGCTCCATTCGTGCTCAGATTCGCCCTCTTCACGATCGGATTCGCCCCTTCGCATTTCGTTGATGGGGTATCATTGCCATCAACGCGCTAGAAAGAAAAGGGAGAAATAGATGGGTGGCAAGGATGGCAGTGCGGGTGCGAGGCTCTATGGTGTCGGCTGACATCGTTGTGCGATTGCGGTGTTCTGCGGTGGTGACGGCGATGTACTTTGACGTCTGCAATAAAAGGGGAGAGGGCCGATCGAAGGTCGAAGGCGATGGGGAACTTAGTCGATAAAGAAGAAATAAGGGTATTTTAGTTTGTTCAGTTATTAGAAATTTTATCAATCGAGAACCTCGAAGATGGATGATTAGATGAGTTATCAATCTGGGACACAAAAGATGAAACGTGTCAGTATAGGGTCCGAGAGATTGAAAATTATCAATCTAAGACCTAAAACAGTTGGTTTTTATTTAGAGAATATTACCCGAAATAGGACTAAAAGGGTTTGAAAATTCCTAAATAGGACTGTCATGTTTTTATTCCCAAAATAAGACTAATTACTGTCATGTTTTGGCAGGACCAGACTTCAAACATAGCAGTATTTTCCAAACTTGGCAGTAATTACTCCTATTTTGGGAATAAAAAACATGACAGTCCTATTTTGGAATTTTCAAACCGTTCTAGTCCTGAAAGAGTATTTAATTCTAGAGAGAAGTGAGAGCTAAAGAGAGAAAGTGAACAATTAATATTTCTCAACCCCTTATGACTACCCCCAAGGGGAGTATTTATGGGGAAATTGTGGATTAAGAGACTCATTACAATAATAAGCTAAGGCCTCTATTGGGCATAATAAGGCCACTAATGGGCTGAGTACAAGTCTTAGTAGATTAAGTACTAAAATACATTCTGCCAGGGTATTTCCTAGCCGATCCGATGCCTTTTGGCCGATGCGGTCCCCTGGCCGATGCGGTCCCCTGACCGATGCGATCCCTGGCCGATGGGTAGCTGACATTGGTCTAATGGAGACGTTCGTCTCCGTTGGTGTAGGAGTATGCTGGCTAGCCTTGGGCCAGGTCTTCTTGGTCTGAGCACCCGGGGTGGAGACGTGCGTCGCAGATGTTTTTAGTCCATTGGAGTCGTTCGTCTTCGTTGGTGTGGGAGTATGCTGGCTACTCTTGGGCCTGGATTCTTTAAGCTGAGGACGAGGAGGCAGGAGGGAGACGTACGTCTGAGCTGCCTTGGGCCAGGACTCCTTAAGCTGAGGACCAAGAGGGAGACATACGTCTGTGCTACTCTCGGCCCTAGCGCTAATGATGTCGTACGTCTCCTGACTGCTGACGCACTCCTTATGCTCGATGACCTTGGAGCTCGGTGACGTTCGTCTGCATTTAACACCCTTGTTGGGCTTAGACGCTCGTCAATAGAGATTGGGCCCCCTGATGGATAGTTGCCCTTGGTGCCTTGGAGACGTTCGTCTACGCTCAACACCCTTGTTGAGCTTAGACGCTCATCCATGGAGGGGCCCATTTGGCCGCGGGGTGCCACGTGGGTGCCCCTCTCTGGTGTCCTTGACCCGAGTATGTGGGCCATTGGGGTCTGAGCCCATATATATACTCTATCAAGTCCTATTTCGGGAACTTTCCCTTTTATTTATTTACTGTGTTATTAATTACATGGCTAACTTTTAAATAATAATAATAATAATAATAATAATATTCAAGGCATCTCAAGTCCTAGATTGATATTTTTCAATCCTTCGGGCCCTAAATCGACACATTTCATTTTTAGGTTCCGGATTGATAGCTCATACTCCCTCCGTCCCTTAAAACTTTGTCATCTTTCTTTTTTGGGACGTCCCAAAAAACTTTGACACTTTCCCTTTTAATCAATTATTTTGTGGTTTCAGTTATTTCTCTCTCCTATGCACAAAATTCAACCACACAGTTTTTACTTTATTATTCTCCGTGCCGGTCAACTTTGGCAAAATTTTAAGGGACGGAGGGAGTATATCTTTGAGATTTTGAATTGATAAAATTTTATTACTAGTCTATTTTCTGTGCAAAATTAAAACTAATCTTATATTTATCCTTTTAAAAGTCCATAGTACGTAGTAAAATATTCTTGTCATCATCATTTCATATAAATATGGTAAAATATCAGAGCTTGACTTTATGAATGGTAATGCGCGCAGAAGCTGGCTAATTAAACGTGGCCCGAACAGATCATGAGTCTCATGACTTTTTTAGGGTATGTTTGGCACAACTAGCTAAAAAGATACCTTTACGAGCTTTTTAGTAACTGTTAGCTTTTAGTGACTGAAAAGATCTTAAAAAGAAAAGGTGATAGCTGTTTGGTAAAAAGCTGACTGTTTGATTTAGTTTGGTTTGGTATACAAGCTGTTAGGACTAATTTAAACTAAAAGTCACGAGCTTTTCTCAGATGCTACACCTGGTAGCATCTCAAAAAAGATCTTTTAATTTTTGAAAAACTCTTAAAAAATGTCATGTCAGACATACAACTAGAGTCTTTTAAGGTCTTTTTAAAGAATAGAGAAGCTAGAAGCTAGAGTCTTTTGTGTGCCAAACATAACCTTAGTAGTTGTGTTAATTAACTGTTAACTTTATTTATTTCGATCTTGTCACATTATTTTAATTTAGATATATGCAATGAATGAAAAAATGTCGGTTAGCAAGGTATATGACCAAGTCAAAAATAATCTCCAGACTAGTTTTAGATCCTTGAGTAGGGCCACATTAGCATGTACCTGGTCTAGCTACATCGTTTAAGCAATTCATACTTTGTATGATTATTGTAATTAGGGAACATTGCCAGTTATTCTAAAAATGAGAAATTAAGTGCATCTGATGTGAATAGACTATTCCCAGGAAATGTAAGTCTCCAAAGAGTAACACAAATATTTCATCATTCTTTAATTCTTGCAACATTACGATTTTCACACTATTCACATACCTTATTTTGACCACGATTTTCTACTAATAAACATAATCAAATTATTACGTATAAAATATTATTGAATTCCTATCAATGTGAATTTTCAAAACATCAACTTTTTATAATGTTTACTACTACGTAATACATAATTAAATATAATTACAATCAAAGTTCTCTGTCGGCAAACGTGAAAGGCAAACTGTTGCAAGAATTAAAGAACATCTTCCGAGATTTAGGGGCAACCTTGTGAGTCATTCCAAAGATTTTTTGGGATACATTTTTACATTTATTGTA